ATAAAAATGTCTATTAGTGTGAAAGGTTGAAAATACAAAATAAAATGAAAAGTTGTGTCTATTTAAAGAACTGAAATATATTAGTTTTAAAGGTTGTGTATCTTTTCATAAGAACTGAAATATATTAGTTTAAAAGTTGCATCTTTTTATTATAAATAGAATTGTGTCTTTTTATAAAATAATTTCTATTATTTTAAAATTCTATCTTTTCATTATAAAAAAAGTTTGTGTCTCATAAAAAAATAGTTTAAAAGTATTTAAAAGAGGTTGTAAGAATTGTGTCTTCTCATAATAACAATTTTTGTAAGGTTATATCTCTTCATTAAAAAATGAAATATATTAGTTTAAAAGTTGCATCGTTTCATTATAAAAACCATTGTGTCTCAGAAAAAAATAATTTAAAAATATTTAAAATAGTTAAGAGTTGTGTCTTCTCATAATAAAAATATACTAATTATAACAATCTTGATTAATTTAAAAGTCTGTGAATGCCAAATAAAAAAAACTGAGACTCTTAATAAAAATTTCTATTAGTGTGAAAGGTTGAAAATACAAAATAAAATGAAAAGTTGTGTCTCTTTAAAGAAATAACTGAAAGATTGTGTCTCTTAATAAATAAAATGAGAGGTTGTCTCTTAATAAAAATCACAACTAATTCTAAAGGTTGTGAATGTCAAATAAAATAAAAATTGTGTACCTTGATAAAAAATCCCAATTAATTCTAAAAGTTGTGAATGTCAATCAAGATGAAAGGTTGTGACTCTTAATAAAAATATCAATTAATGTGAAATGTTATATATGTAAAATAAAATGAAAGTTGTTTCTCTTAATAAATAAAATGAAAGGTTGTGTATCTTAATAAAATAAAATGAAAAGCTGTGTCTCTTTATAAATAAAATGAAAGGTTGTGTGTCTTAATAAAAATACCAATTAATTCTAAAATTGTGTATCTTAATAAAAATGCCAATTAATGTGAAATATTGTAAATGAAAAATAAAATGGAAAGTTGTGCCTCTTTAAAAAAATAAAATGAAAAGTAGTGTTTCTTAATAAATAAAATGAAAGGCTCTATATCTTAACAAAAATCTCAA